AAACTGTTTGATCCATTAGTTATAATTACCATTATATTGTTTATTATATACGCTTTAGTAATATTCGCAATGTTGTATCATTATGCTGAATTTATATTTTATGTATTAGGCATTTGTATAATGTGTTTATTATTTGCTCTTTTGTACGTCTTGAAGAATTAATGATTGTATATGTAATTTTTCGAATCTAAGCGTTGATGTTTTATTTTATAGTTATCATGTAAATCCGATCAAACTCGAATTTGAAGCTCTCGATATATCTGGGAAAAATTATATCTCATGGACATTGGATGCCGAAATTCATTTGGCGGCAAGGGGATTGGAAAAAACAATAATCTCCCCAAATGATTAATCAATATAGGATAAAGCTAAAGCAATGATATTTCTGAGGCATCATTTGAATGAGGCATTGAAAAATGAATATTTAACTGTTAAAGATCCTGCAGATCTCTGGAAAGCCTTGAAAGAAAGGTATGATCACCAGAAAACAGTGATTCTCTCCCGGGCTCGTTATGAATGGATGCACTTACGCTTCCAAGATTCCAAAACTGTAAACGAGTACAATTCAGCCATGTTCCGCATTTGCTCGGTATTGAAATTATTTGGAGTAAACATAACTGATTACGATATGCTGGAAAAAACGTTGTCCACGTTCCACGCTTCAAATGTACTTTTGCAGCAACAATACAGAGCAAAAGGCTTTGTGAAATATTTTGAGTTAATTTCTTGTTTGTTGCTGGCTGAAAAAAATAATGATCTGTTGATGAAAAATCATGAATCTAGACCCACGGGGTCTATTGTGGTCCCTGAGATAAATGCTGTAATATCTAGACAGGGAACCGAAACTAAAAACAGCCAAACATATGTGCGTGGATATACCTCGGGACGTGGCCGGGGTCGTGGACGTGGACGTGGCCGTGGATATGGTCCAGATCGCCGATTTGACCAAGTCCACAAATTTCACCGAGGGTATAACTCGGGCCGGGGATATAATCGTGGGCGAGGCCGTAACTATGCCCAAAATTATGAGAGGGGGAGAAATTTCCAGCCAAAATTTGAACAAAATAATGTGACGGAAAATAATGTGACGGAGAATAATGATGAAAAGGCATGTTATCGATGTGGACGGACGGGACATTGGGCACGAAATTGTCGTGCTCCGAGACACGTTGTTGATAATTATAACAATTCCCAAAAATCAAAAGATAAGAATATAGAAACCAATTTTATGATTGGGGAATCTTCTGAAAATGATGCAACACGTGTGGATGATGACTATGGCATCGATGACATATTGAACCTGGATTTTGCTGATGCAGTAGTTGAAGACCGAGCTGAAAATGACCAAGAGAATAACTGATGATCATGTTTTTATTGCTTTCTTAGTTTTGTCG